CCGTAACTCGGGAAACCGACTCGGAAATCGAGTTCGTTGGACAAATCGAACGCGGCATCGAGTTCGTTGGACAAATCGAACGCGGCATCATTCCCGGGTTGTGGGGACTCAACAAATAAACAAAAAAACAACAACGTATTTTTAAGGAAGAGGAAGAGCTTATTTTGCACTATGCTGCTGCACAGCTTGTGAACGTCTCCAAAGGATCAATAAGGGTTTTATCCTTATCCATAATAATACATTGTGATTTATTTTTAATTCTCTTTTGTATTTTTAATCTGATTCTGCAAACTAAAGTTATCAAATAAATGTAGAGCAGTGAAAACATACAGTAGCGGAGTATAAATAAGTATCATAAAATAGAAATAATTTACCTCAAAATTGTTTATTAAATGTACTTAGTTACTTTCCAGCACTGGGTTATCTCAAGGCAAGAGGCAAACTGTTATCTCAGATTCAGTGAGACACACTGTTATGGTACATAAATACTTAATTTCCAAGAACTACAGTACAGGTTAAAGGTCAACTCTGTATTACTTGACAAATTAATGGATGAGCTTTATTTATAGATGACCAATCAGCATTTTTGTGTTTGTCAATGATTTAAAATACTGATGTAGCAGAGACAAGCACAAGGTTCAGCAGCAGCTGATTTTAAGCACTTTAAGGACTTAAAAGCTAGAGTTCAAAGTTCATTCCTGTACCTGGAAAGTGTACAGTTGACTGAAACACTGACAGGATTGTCTGAAATACTCCAGCAAAAGATTTTGTTCTGAGCACTTGAAAACAGCAGTAAACTAAACCACTGAAATTCTAATGTAATCCAACATTTAACCACACCATCTGGTTTTAGCCTTAAACACACTTGCAGTTTTATCCAGAGCACTACACACACACTACACATGCTACCTGTAGGGCCCCACCTACCCCTTTGTATCAAAGCAGGTGTCAGCGTTTGCAACTTTGATGAGAGGAGATCAGATTATCCGTCAGAAAAAGAGGGGAAACAAACCAACAGGAGAGTGAATTGTGGAATCAGGTAAACTTGTGTTATCTCCAGATTTGATGTCAGTAAATAACAGTAAGGTGAAGTTGATCTCTCTCCACTCTGCTGTCTCACTAACAGCTGGCAGTGCAGCTCTCTGTCTGTCTGTGTGACTGATGGGAGCAGTGTTTATAATCTTCAGCAGGGCCATCGTCTCTGGGCACCAGTTCAGACAATATATGGGTGTGATGGCTCTACTCACAAACACAGGCACATCATTTTACACAAGATAATGATTATCTAGCCTCTCAGTTAATGTTTAGTTACAACTGTGTAAAGCAATGGATTAACACTGACTATTTATTAAATATTAAATTTAAAATGTTGCCTAGCTCAGCATACTGGTTAATATGAATACAGATCTCTCAGTAAATAATAACCATCAAGTATTCAGTCAAGCTATAGTATAAATAGTATTTTATATTTGAAAATGTATAAAAGGAAAATCTTGGGGAACCAGTTTAAAATTACCTGATGCAGATTTTCTGAGACTTAAAGCTGCAGTCAGTCTATAAACCTCTGTTTCTACGATGTTAATGTTAATATTCAATTAATAAATAAATATAAATAAATATTATGTGTTTATAAATCATTCTGTTCTGTACAGATCTACTAATTCTTAGATTGACCGAGCAAACTGTTTTAAAGGAGGAAGATTTGTAGTGGGAGCACTGGTGTCTCAGGTGTGACTGTGTTGCTATGGCAATTAGTTTACATGGTTTACGGGTCAGGTAGGGTAGTCAATGATTTAAAATACTGATTTAGAGACAATATCAGCACAAGGTAAAGCAGCAGATTTTGTTCTTGGAAACAGAAATTGCCTTAAACACCGATAGGACTGTCAGAAATATTGATGTTATCAAACCTTTAACAACACTACGCTGTCTAGTGTTAGCGTTACACACACTTGCAGCACAATCTGTGGTTCAGGCACAAGAGAGGACAGAAAGAAAAAAAAATGTAGACGTAACAGAAAGTTGATCTAACGTCTGTTATCATCACACTGCCTGAAGTACAGTTGAGCTGCTTCTCTGAATTATTAACACACTTATCACTTTTATCTCCTGCTCCTGATGCACTTCTGTTTATTAATTAACATGTAAATATAAAATATATTGAACTACAGGATAAACAAAATGGTTTTATCAACTTAAAGTGATGAAATCTTTACGTCTGCTGCTGAAACCAGACGAAGCAGCTGATCTTCCATCCTAAATATCGAAGCATCCCACAGAGATGACGGTGTTCAAATAAAGGAAATTAAAAAGAAGATAATCGCATGTTTTCACATGTTCTTTATTTTCAACAAACGCATCAACCAAGCCTTCATGTGGCATATCGGATGTCAACGGGTTATCTTGTCTCTACTTTCATTTTTATTTTCTATAAGGTTTCCACCAAAATACAAATTCTTTAACAAAACAGTGCCTGCATAAATATAACAATATGACATACTTTGGTAAAACTTAACCTCTCAGTGTTTTCTATCTTTTCTTCACTGAGCCACTTTTCTTGTCGGACTTCTGCTTCTTCATATCTTTCTTGCCTTTTGACAGATTCTCGTAAACGTCCTCCTTGCTTCTGGGAATAGACAAAGAAACAGCTGATTAGTGATTTCCTCCATCCGGTGTATTTTTATATTCCAGCCAACATTGATTAGACACAGTTTTTTGAAGCGAATCGTAGACACAGGAGAGGTTAATGACCAGGGCTGCTGCATGAGAACGATTTAAACGGACCAAACCAACCATGAATCAATCACTCAAAGCTGGCAGCCAACTATTCAACGCTCCAAGTGGGTGAAAGTTTACAGCGTTTGGGCCTGAACCGTTCAGTGCTGGAAACTGGAAAGTGATTAATTAGAACATTGCTCAGTTCATGAAGGGCAGAGGTCACAAAAACATCATTCAGACAACAGAACAAAGACAAGCGGGGTGTCTTGGTGTGTATCTATTGTCTTGTTTAATTCTGTGATCTATTAAAGGGACATTCCTCTGACTTTAAACATGATGTTCAGTTTACTCATCATGAGGAGGGAAAACTGTTTCATAATGTCTTCTGCTCTGGAGGGAACTTTCTAAAGTTTTAAAAAAATAACCCTAAATGTAGGATCCAACCTTTTCAGGATATCTCAGCTTCTCTTGCTTTGATTTTGATGATTCTTTAGTAAATCTGTCTAAATATTTATGGAGAAAGGATTCATTTAGTGTTCAGTTCATAGTGCTCACTGGAGCTGTGACAAATGTTCATCTTGTCTCTAATGCCCCAGTCAGTCAGAACACTTAAATGCAATAAAAAAGGATCCACCAGGAGGTGGTGATGGCTGATTTTGACTTCCACTGCCCACAAACAGCAAAAGAAAAAGTCACCACGATGGAATTAGATTCACTGTCAGACTGCTTCAGTTTTTGTGTCTGACAACTACTGTAGGAACTTTATGTCTGTACACAATTGTATGGCAATCTATCAAGTATGTGTTTATGATATTTACTACAGGTCAAAGTGAAAACTTACTGGTGGTACTAAATGAAAACTCATAACAATCCATCCACTAGTCGTTGAGATATTTCAGGCTGGTAGGCCGACTTACCAACCAGCATCGCTATGTGCAGTGCCCTAAAAATGTAAATAATTTCCTGACAGCCTCATGCTGAACTTGTTTGAGGGCTCCTTGTTAAGAACATGGTACATTCTGGTACTTGCTTACACTGTGGTCAAAGGTTCTATAGTTCATACATTAATCAGATTTTACGCAACAGTTCATTTTCCAGCTGCATTCCAAGTGTGGGTTAAAACTACACTACAAACAGTGCTTTTTTATTTTAAGACTCAAATGAATATAAAACTGTTAAAGTTAATAATTTTTTGCAGTGTAGTCCCCAGATTTAAAAAAAAAACTATGAAATTGAGTCCAGCTGCACTACATTGCATCCTCCCTCCACCCACAACTTCGTCTCTCTGCAGAATGAGACTGCTGAGGCTGAAGGTGCTGACTAAGTCATGTTTTTGAAAAGAAAGTAGGGCGGCAGTGTGAGGTTTAGAGGAGCCATGTGAATGTAATAGGGACAACCAATTCACACACTGTGTCATAGACAGACACACACACACCCGCCCACTTACTTTGAGACCTTCCTGCTCGCTGGTTGGTGTTTGAGCTGCAGATTTCCATACTCTGTCTCGGCTTCCTGAGGAAGAGAGAAACAGAGACATTTCGGATATGACTGGAGGATTACTCAAACACAGAGAGAGATCATGCGACTGTTTTTGTCAATGTGATAGATTTTTTTCTGCCTCTGGGGTCAATGTTCATCTTTCTCAAACCACTCTCTGATAACATATCATTGTTGGCATTGAACTAATCCGCTCTGGTGTTCAAATCAGCAGTCATAAGTGCAAAGGCCTATTGACATACATATCTCTATTTTCTTTTCTTGAAACTCGCTCTTGTTTTCCTTGTATCAATCTATATTTCAACCACAATAAAAGACTAATTCCTGTCCCGTGTTTGTTAGTCTTCTTCCTGGATTTTCTGTCCCTGTTGCTCACCA